ATCTACAAATGGGTATATTTCTGATCATGCTAGACTGAGTTAAAAAAAACCCAATTTTGCCTAAAAGGTAAAGTATTTCTGTGTATTTCTCTAAAGTCTATTAAATATTTTGAGAAAGTTTTTGCCCTAGATTTGTACTGTGGCCAGTATAATTCTGTTTTGTCCCTGTATTTCAACATATATTCAAGGTACTATTGTAAAAGACCATTTCCTGAAAATCTCTAATAAAAATGCCTTAAAACACGTTTGTGGTGACCATATAATGGTAAGACTCAGCTACTATTCTGGAATTCAGCACCCCTCGCCCAATGCCACATGTGTGTATGTGAAAACATACAATTTACAACCTTAACAGCAACCTCAAGTGCAGACTCAATACTCTGGGTGTGTGGTGTTTCTTGGTCTTTGTTTTTAATTCATTAGCTTCAAAAATGTGTTTTTAGAAAATCTGCTTCTGGCCATATCCAAGTAACTGGGACTGCACTCTCTCCCCCACTGTCAACAACTAGAAAAATAGACAATGGATGAAACGACTATTCTCAGACACTAGACAAGTGACAATGGGGAACTGTGATCCCAGAGAGGAGGAGACCAAATGTGACCCCTAAAATTACTTGACTTTCTGCCTGAATAATTGAGCAGATCCCACCCCAGAACAGGGAACTGAAGCAGAGCACAGATAATGAGGGCTTCAGGGAGGAGGGGACATAGACAATGGGCTTCAGGCTGCCTAAGGCATCTGGAATTGGCTTTATGGAGCAGTGGAGAAGAGCGGGCTGCACAGAGATGAGCTTCACAAATCTGCAAAGGTGCTCTTCTGAGCATGAGGCTAAATACTCAGCAGCAAGTACGTGGGGTGAGATTCCTCAAGGCTGGGAAAAGAGCAACTACCTAGGACCTGTGAGCTGTACAACTGCTGGCGCTCACGGAGGGCTGGAAGACACGTGTTCCAGTCTGCTGAAGGGGAGAGATCTTATTGCACACACAGAGCCTAATAGAAAGGCTGTCTATTAGAAATAAGGCTGGACTAGTACTAGAATAAAGGCTCCTTGAAAAGGGAGGGTAGGCACAAGAATTATTTGAAGGTATAATGTTCAAAATTATTTCCAAATTTGATATAAACCATAAACCTACAGATCTGAAAAGTACACCAGAAGCCAAACAGCATAAGCACAAAGGAGGAAGCCAAACCAAGGCACAGCATAATCAAACGGCCGGAACACAAGGACACGGACAACAATCTTAACAATGACCAGAGAGGAAACAAGCACATTGGTTATAATGTCTTTTGGAGCTTAAAGCGTATGTATAAATAAAATGATTATGTAAAATGTAGAAATAAAATGTATGATAGCACACGGAGGGCAAGCAGGCAAAGGGGAGTACACTGTTTTAAGGAACTTACATTACATGTAAAGTGACACAATATACTTTGAAGGGAGACTATGGTAAGTTAAAAATCCAGGTTGTAAATACTAAAGCAGCCTGTGAAAAACAAAACAAGACTTATATTTAGCTGATAAGCAAATAAAGGAGATTAATGGAATACTAAAAGACTACTTAATCCAACAGATTAAGCCAGATAAAGAGGGGAAAAAGGATTAAAAATGAAAAATTCAATTATGTCCACAATTTTATTACATTTAAATGCATTAGGAATATTAGTTAAAAGAGAGAGATTATCAGGCCAGAGGGATCAAAAGGATGGACTCTACATTCAATTTATAAGAATGTACTTTAAACGTGTAAATCAATGGCTTTACAGAACACTCCCTCACATCACACGCAAAAATAAACTCAAAATGGCTCAAAGCCGTACACACAAGACAAGACACCATAAACCGTCTAGAAGAGAACATAGGCAAAACAGCCTCTGACATAAATCGTAGCACTGTTTTCCTAGGTCAGTCTATCAAGGCAACAGAAATAAAAGCAAAAAGAAATGAATGAGACCTAATTAAACTCATAAGTCTTTGCACAGCCAAGGAAACTATAAACAAAATGAAAAGACAACCTAC